CCACTGACTCTGGGCCCAAGAGTCCCCAGGCCTCTTCACACTGCTTGCCAACCAGGTCCCCAATTGGGTCCACTGTCCATAGGGTTTTGCAGGCTGTGAGCTTCATGGGCCACTACTCGTCAGCCACTTTGTCATACTGTAGTGGCTTGTGTGTTGCTGTGATGTTGGAAGCTATGTCACTGGTATCTCAAATACCAGTAGGGGCACCCACCATGGTCAGGTTTCAGTGGAGATTCCAGAGTAAGACGGACTAGGAAGAGGATCTGGCAATCCACTTCTTAAAAAGTTAGTCAGTGAAAATGCTATGAATAGCAGCAGAACATCGTCTTACACAGTGCCAGAAAAAGAGTCCCTCAGGTTGGAAGGCACTCAAAACATCAGAGAAGAACCACCTCCTCAAAACCGAGTTGGCTTTAATGATGTGGGTGGAATCAGGATTTCAAGACCTTCATTTGCTGATGTGGAACAACTCAAAACGAGAAGAAACAGCTACAAACATCCATCAATAACTGTAACATAGAATGCATGAGGCGTGGATCTAGGAAAATGGAAAGCTGTCAAAAATGAAATGGAGGGTCTGGTAAAAAGAGATGGAGTAAAATTCTTATGATTCAACAGTGAATAACTGTTATCATGACTAATTGTGACTGTCACAATTGTAAAGGTAAAAGTTTTGTAACAAAAATGGAGGAGTAGTTAATCTTACAGTCCAGAAACAGAGGACCCTAGGACCATCAAGGGAGAAGACCACAAGCAGAATGCTAGACCTTATCCAGAGAAGCAGCAACACCAGAGGTGGAGGCAGAGATGGGGACATGGGGAGAGGGATCAGCTGAGGACTCTAGATTCATGGAAAGAGAGGGACTGAGAGCTGGCAGCCAGGAGGCAGACTTGCAGAATGTGCTCTTCAAGGGTGTAAATTATTATATATGCCTGAGTGTTTAAAAAAAAAAAAAAAAGAGCTAAATTGAATAGAGAGAAATACTGTTAACTGATGGATGGTACATGGAGGGGATTATAATCATTGTAATGAAAAAAAGTTTATTAGTTGTTCAGTGTAAAACTGATGATCTGCCCTGTAAACTTTCACTCAATTCACAACAAAAACTTCAAAACAAAAAAAGAAATGGAATGGAATGCACAAAGATCGCTACCCTAGGCATTAGTGAGCTGAAATGCACAGATATTGGTAATTTTGAATTGGACAAACATATGGTTTACTACTTTGGGAATGAATGACAAATTGGGTCATTTGCTACTTGCTACAAGACCAAGGTCTCTCTCTTAGAATAAGGAGTTGTTTGTACTGAAGAGCATTCTTTTCACTCTCCTGTGCATGCTTACTTTCCATCTTCACCATGAATGAGAAGATGGAAAGTAAGCATGCACAGGAGAGTTCTTGCCACACGTAAATCCCCATCTTGGATGGAGGGAAAAGATGTTTGGTTGACAGGTACCTGCTCGCTTCTCCCTCAGAGGGTATGGGAAGTCCAGGGCTTTCCCTGCGTATCTGGAAAGCAGCGCGTCAACCTCCTCTGTGGAGAAGCCGATCTCCTGCCCGACCAGCAGCTGGTGCAGAATATCCACAGCCACAGTGGCCCAGTCCACTTTCATGTTCATCAGCAGCTGCTCCAGCATGAGCAGGGGGCTAGAGGATAAGTGGGCATAACTTGCACGGTGCTGCTCAGGCAGGGTCAGCAGAATCTGTTTGCGAAGAGGAGTCACAGAGGTAAGAAAACAGTAAGAAACTTGAGATTCCTACTGGAAACTGGAGAGATACTAGACACCAAGAGGCACAAAGCCAACAACTGGAGCTGGGCTGACTCTCCATCTAAATCCTCCAGGGGATGGTCAAGAAGCACTCTAAGTGCTTTCACATAGAAGAAGGGTGGGTAAACGTTTCTGTAAATGGTGAGATAGTAAATATTTTAGACTTTATGAGCCATATAATCTCTGTCACAACTAACTAACTCTAGCCAACACAACATGAAAACAGTCATAGACAAAGGGTGAAAGAATGAGTGTGCCGGTTCCAATCGAGTTTGATTTATAAAAGCAGGATGAGGACTGGATTCAGCCCATAGGCTGTGGTTTGCTGACTCCTCACCTAAGCCCTCCAGGCATGGTTGACCTCTACCAGGCCTTTAATGGCACCATTTTGTCCATTTGAGGCTTCCCTCAAAATGAGCAGTACAAGGTACTGTCAGAGGCCTGAATAAACTTGACAGCTCCAGTGTTCTTCAGGTAAATGTGGAGTTTGTGTTCCCTCCAGAAAGCATTACACAGTAGCTTCACTGGCTCTGCTCATTGACAATAACTATTCTTAAGGATCTCTCCACTGAGTACCGTGCATTAAAAAGCAAACCAAACCCACCAACCAAACCCCAAAAGCCCTAGCTTCAGGACCATGTTATGTAGTTAACCCATAGCAAACGGGCCAGTGGTCACAGTCCTGGCTGTAACCAGCAGTAGTTCTATATATGGGACCATTTAATCTATACAATGGCAGTCAGAATAATTAGGGGAGGGCCAGAGAGCTCCCTCTTTCCCCAAACTCTCCTTCACTGGAGTACTTTTCCTAGTTTGTGTTTGTATTAGTGTCTCCAAGGCTACACATCCAACATGTGGACCTAGAACCTCATCTAATTACCTAGACTAGTTTCCAGCCTCCATATCAGGATCCATTCAGAAGATATCCAGACTCGACTCAATAGATTCAGTTTTAACTGGTTCAGGGCAGAAGCCACCCACTGCTCTTTTTTAAAAGTCCAAGTCTTTCTAAGTTGTCACCAGAACTGTGCAGCACTGACACTCAACAGGTGCCTTAGAAAGCATGATTAGAACTCAAGAGGAATAGGGGAAATGCACTTTGGAGGCAAGGGAATAATAGAATGACAAGCCCTAGGGGAACTCAAGTAGGCTGTGGTGAGCTGCTAGAAGGATTTTACAGAGCACAGACTGCCATGCCAAAGACGACATGTGCCTGGAAGCAGAGCCACTGAAAGAACAAGTGGTAAAGTGGGGTGCTTTTCCACAGCCCCATTCCTCCTTACCTTGGAGCCCAAGGACAGCGCCTGGATTTCATGGTGCCGGGCAGCACTCAGTTCTCTATAGAACTGGGCAGTGAGGTAGTTGGCCAAGAAGTGTGAGGTGGCCAGACTAGGGTGCTGATCAAGGGACTGCTCCATGACTTCAAGGCACATGGTGGGGTCAGGGATTCTCTGCAGGAGCTTTTGCAGGAAAAGGGTGAAAGAAGAAGGTGAGGTCTGTAGAAGACCCCTTAGGTCAACCTTGTTTTCTCTGAGAAAGAATCATTTGAACTAATCCCTTCTGTCCACTTATTTTTCACCCTGGGAGCCTCACGGGTGTGTCAATGATTTGACAGGCCCAAGAGTGCAGCAGATGCCTGGGCCTCGCTGGCACTCGATCTGACAGCTGATCTGACACCCGATGCGGGGCTGCCCGAAGGATAGGAAGGGGCATACCTGAGATTGCAAATGCCTTGCATGAAACTTGGCATGAAAAAAAACCCAACAAAAACCAAAAATCCCCAAAACCAATAAAGCATCTGGTTTGACTATCCTTCTCCCACCCCAAAAGAGAAAAGGGAAGAGTAAGAAGCTTACCTGCAGAGCCCTCTCCGAGTCTCCTCTTTCGAGAAGGTGGAGAAGATGCTTTTGATGTAGGCTGATTAAATGTTCTCTTGGAATGGGGTATAGATGGCCCCACTCTTCACACAGACCATACGCCTGCAAGGAAATACATGCGACTTCAATCCCTTTAAAGTACATCCAGCTTTTGCCTGATTTTTCTCAGCATGGTCTCCAGTATCCTAATACCCCAGGGAGGTTTGATGAGTGCTGGTGGGAACTTCACTATGACATCAGTATGGGAGGATAAGCTCAGAGGACTAGAGTGGCAAGGGAAGTTAGAAAAATGAATGAAGCAGGTTGACTGTCCACAGTATTCTCCCTCGTACCTCTACAGTTCAAAAGAAATGAGGATGGTATAAGAGAGGGGCTTCAAAAAGTTCGTGGAAAAATGACATTGCCTTTTTGTTGCATTTGTCTAAGGACTTTTTGAAGCCTTGTACAATGACTGACGTTTGGCATCAGCCTTGGGGATATCAAGGAAATGGGGAAGATGGTAAAGCCTCTGTCCAAAGAAGATGGCCCCCACTCAGCTTGGACTGATGCCATAAAAGGACACAGGCCCACTGTTGCAGACTTTCAATTTTTTCACATGAAATTTCCCAATGTATTATGTTGGCCAAGAAATCAATATTAAAAAATAAAGATCTGCAGACCAGTGTTGGCTTGGCCTAATAAACATCCCTAAACATGATTTTAATTAAGCATGCGCTCTCTCCCATCTCCCAATTCATGAGCTTAGGAGGAACGTGTCAGAGGACAGAATTCCCTGGGTTTTGACAAATACTGCAGTGGAATGACCCTCCCTGTTTCTCAGGCTATACACATGTGAAAGCTGGACAATGACTCTGGAAGACAGAAGAAGAACTAATGTCTTTGAGTTAGGGTGACCTCCCAACATCTATCAAGTGATAGAAGTAAGCTCTGTGCATACTTCTATCACTTGATAGAAGAATTTACAACCACTCAGGAATGTGTCTCACATCCTACCACCCACCAAGAGTAAGGACTAAATTATCATTGTTTTGCCACCTATAAATAAGCACTAGACTGCTAACCGCAAAGTCCGGTTGTTCAGCACATTAACCCACAGCACCTGTTGAGGAGCTGCAGAATAAGCACTCAACTGCAAGATCAGTTTGAAGCGCAAGGTACTCCTTGGAAAAACCTATACAGGGTAGCTAAGATTGAAATCAAGTTAGTGGTACTTAATAACATTCCCATATAGTGGATGAATACAGGGCCATTGAAATGAATGAGCTGAAATGATCTTGCATACAAAGCATGGCTACATACAAATCTCAACAGTGGGAAAGAATCAAGTACAGAAAGACACAGTAAAAGTTTAATATCTGGAAATATACTACAATAAATTGTTACAAGGTATATTATTACAAGGCAAATACAAGGGGGCTTCAAAATGTTTGTGAAAAAATTCCACTTTTTTTCCCATGATCTTTTAATCACAATTTTTCACAAAGGTTTTGAAGCTCCCTGGTGTGTGACCTAGGTCTAAAAACAAGTATGAGAATATAAAAGCCAGGTATGATGATGTAGGATAGTGATTATTACACTAAAGGAAGAAAGGAAGGGAATGGGGTTGGGAAGATGGGGGCCCTTAGTGATTTGGATTCTTTAAAATCAGTATCTGTGTTGGGTCCCCTCAGTGCAAACCCCCTTCCAAGACTAAGACTCAATGGGAATACACACTGTGATTGGTGACCACACTCGACACCGATAAGGGGAAGTGAGGGAAAAACAGCAATGAAGCAGTGAGCTAAGCCCTACAATGTTCAATAGACTTCTGTGAACCCGGGTGAAAACCTGGTTGGCCAGCAGTGTGGCAAGATCTGGGGACTCTTGGGCCCAGAGTCAGTGACATAGCCACAGAGGACTAGAGTGAAGCGACCAGATGATAAGAAGAGAGGGCATATGCATAAGAACACCCACACTAGCAGATAATACCCACTTATCCTGGCTTCAGTGACTGGATGATCAGAGCTCAACCAGAAGTAAAAAGGAGAGGAGAGGGAAAAAAAAAAAAAATGTATTCTCATACAATTTGATGAACTTGACCTACACCTATGGAAGCAATAGCTCAAAAGAGGGAACAAGTCCTTACAGCAAGAAGCATTCCCACCCCCTCCACACACAGAGTAGACAGGGATGGGCAACTTGGACATTGGCTACCCAAAATGGGGGGTGGGGGCTACAAAGGCAAGAAGTGACTGGCTTACAAGCTTTCAAGAGGGAACCTAGATCTAGAGGGCATGGAGGAAGGTAGAATCTCCAGTGAGTAGTATTCAATCTGACTAGAGGGGCTGATGCAATGAAATGCAGACGGGTCTCTTGTGATACAGTAGTGAATAATTGTTATCAGGACTGTTTGTGAGGGTCAGAAATGTAAAGGTGGATGTTTTATAGCAAGGAGGGGAGAGATTAACTTTTCAGTCTAGGAGCGGAGGTCCCTAGGACCATCAAGGGAGAAGAGCAGAGAGTAGGACCCTACCCAGAGAAGCAGTGATGCCTGAAATGGAGCCAGAGATGATGACGTGGAGTGATGGAGCAGCTGGAGACTTTAGATCCAGTGAGGGAGAGCAACTATGTGCTGAGGACCTGGGGGGCATGGGGGAAGGATTGCATGGAGGGCATTGTAACCATGGCAATGAGACGATATATACGATAGAATGAATGTAAAACTAATGTTCTCCCATGTAAACTATCACATAATTCACAATAAAACATTTAAGAAAAAAAAATCAGTATCTGTGGTAAATACTGCATGCTAAGCTGTGGAAAAGCTGGTGACAGTACAAAAATGTCAATGATATTATTTTCCATGCTTCTCTTTATGCTGGTAAATTTCACAATTAAAAAAAAGAAAAAAGAATGAGGCAACAGGACAAAAGTCTTCACAAACTTTGATCTCATTTCAGCCCAGAAGAAATACATGGTACCAAGTTAGCACTATGAATTGTTCTAATCGGGGCCACAATAAATGAACCCTGGTAGAATGGAAGAAAAATGTGAATCAGAACCTCAAGTTCATTAAAACAACCCTGAACAAAACACATCTATTGGACTGGTTGAGACTAGATGGCTCTCTGACTATCACCTTGAGATACTAGGTAAAACTGGCATGGAAACTAATCCCTGCTGCTACTACAGACGAGAAGATAAGGGAGCGGAGGGCGGGGCAAGGAAATTAGACCAATGGAAAGAATGACACTGCTCGTGTGTTGTGAATGAATGTAAAGTCATTGAACAACTTGTATAAAGACTGCTGAACGGAAACCTAGATTCTATGGACACTTTCTCCGAAAACACTATTATACAGAGAATGAGACATATCTGTAAGAACTGTGAACACTGACCACATGGAAAGGAGTCGCAATCCAGTCAACTGAGGAATTGCAGCTCTAAAACAGGAAGAAAGGGATGCTGCCTAGGAAAATGGTACCTTTGCTTCTAGAATCATGTTCATGACAGTGGACGGGTCCTCAACACAACAGCTCCTCAAGGTCTGCCAGTCACACCACAGCGGGGTAGTCTGCAAAGCTAGAATCTAAGAAAAGACAAAAAGATCTAGCAAACCACCCTACAGTTTCTCCCTCTCTGAACAAGTAATCCCTAGATCTCTGTCCCAAGGTCAGCTGTCGGAGCTTGCTAGAAGAGAAGACGAATTGGAGCAAACAGGGAAATATAGTTTGGATAGGAGAATGAAGTTTCACTCCGTGACAAGACAACCTATCCTGAAAATATGACGGGGCTTAAAAAAAATTATGTGGAAAAATGGAGTTGAAAGATAATGGAATTTAAATAACACCATTGCTCTCAGATTAAATAAAAACAGAAAACGGAATTTTTCTGTGACATTTTTGAAGGCCCCTTGTATTATCAGGGAGCAATGGCTGAGAGGGGAGACTTAGATTGGGGTCTTTCACTTTTTAGGACAATTTTCGGAGGCTCCCGTGACGCCCAGTTTGTTCAAGCTGTCTGGAGTTACTGCCCTGTGTTCCTTCATCTCGAAACTTTACCCAAGACATTCTTTTGGCTTGAAAGCTCTGCAGGTTCCCCTCTCATGCTGCATTTTAGCTCTGCATAAAAAGAGCTGAGGAAAAGTGAACAGAAACTCCTTCCCCCTCCCATTTTCACTTTCTCTGGTGGGGCTCTACACAGTTCTGCTCTCAAGACAGATGGACAATCAACACACATTTGAAACTTGTTATGCAGCTGTGTCTCCTCAAGTTTCCTGATACTGTATACAATACATATACCATAAGAATCTTTCATTTTTGAAATTGTCACTTCCACACATACTTTCAAAATGGTTCTTGAAATTTAGCTGAAAAGAATACACAAAGGTAGAATATACAATATAATACACAAAGGTAAAATATAGCAAGGTGAAAAAACCTTTGTAGACTATAAAATACCACTCCAATGTTAATGGTGCTATAATTTTTATCCTTGCTGATATGTATGTACTGGGAATCAGAGGAATAAATAAATCCGTCTTCCTTATAATAAAAGGCTGACATATACTAAGAACTAATAGGAGGCCACCTTGCTGTTCATTTAGGAACAGATGGCAGATGTACAGCAACAGCTGAACTCAAGTTTTGTGTTTCTTGAAATCTCCCATTATCTGAGTACCGAACGAGAAACCACTTCCTTTCTGATACCAGGAGGCATACCTTCTGATACACCTGCAGCTCTTCCTGCTTTCTCTGCAGCTCACACTTCAGTCCTTCCTGGACACTGCGGTCTGAGATGCAGGAGGCCAGGATCTCCAGGCACGACTCCAGGGGCCACCTGTCCACAAACTGTAGGGTCAACTGACTTCTCAGAGATGCATCCTTTACAGCAAACAGGTATTGCCAACCTTCTTTGTCTACAAGACAAAAAGATGCCCAGAGATGGCAAGCCTGGCATGGAAAGTCCTCAAGCACCCAGGTTATTTCTCAAGAAAAAGAGTTCTGCTCTAGTTTACAAAACAGGACCTTGGGGAATCCTTAAGCTCTAACTGACCTCAGCTAGTTTTATCCTAGGAACAATTATATACAAGGAAACACGATAGACCCTACATTTCCCTTTAGGCAAACCTGATCACAGTCATGGGACTTTGAGAAGGGACAGAGGGAGGGACAAAGCAAAAGGAAGGAAAGAACAGACAAAAAGACAGGAAAACATATAGCATTCTTAAGTTTTGCCGCACTGCACAAATTTACTGCTTCAAGCTCAATTCATCTGTGGAATTTTTAATTTTCCCTATAATTTCCATTTCACTACTTGAAAGTTATTTCAGAAAAGTAGTTGTGTTCTCTGAATACCTTCTGTAGACCACAACTGCTTCGCAAATCTCACCAGAAGACTCCAAGCAATTCAGATCACACAGCCAGACAGTGGCCTCCTCCACCTGCTCTCGGAGGGACTGCCCCCTTTCCAGATAACAGCCAGTCTTCCAACCAATATGTCATTCTAGATAGCACGGCCTGCTACTGCAGTGGGTTAAGTGTTGGGCTGCTAAGCACAGGGCTGGCGGTTCAAGCCCACCAGCTGCTCTACAGGAGAACAGATGAAGCTACTTGCTCCCATAGAGATCTACAGCCTTGGAAACCAATGGGGCAGGGCTACTCTGTCCTAGAGGGTTGCTACAAGTTGGAATTGACTTGTTGGTAGTGGGTGCAGTTTTTTGGTGTAGCAAGTCTGGGCTCTTACTCTCCCTGTGGAGTGTTGGAGCTCTTTAGCTCTCAGCTCGGGCTTCACACAAAGTCTCCTGGGGTGCTTTAAGAGCAGGGGGCCTCAAGCAGGTTCAGTCTGTTTTGATAAATAAAGTTTAATGGGAACACAGCCAGCACACCTAAGTCATGCATTATGCACGGTGGCGTTCATGCCGTCATGTCAGAATTGTGTGTTGTCACTGAGACTGTAAGGTCTGCAAAGCCCTCTACAGAGAATGTGCTGATACCCAGTGGCATCACTAGGGTTGCTGATGTCCCTTCAATAGGTGGGGCCAGCTATTGAACCTCGATCCAGAGCAGCAGGTTCCCACCCTCCCACTCTACCATGTGGCTCCCTGCAGCCTCTCCCTTCTCCATGGGCCAATGTGGAGACCCTCCTCTCTATCCAATGGTGGGTGCCTCGGCTTGCCCACACCCTGACTAGTGGGGTCTTGTTGGTATCACCCCCATCTGGCAGTACCTCACTGCTGACACCTGTTTTAAAGTAAACACTTGCCTGAACCCCATCCTGGACCTCTGGGGGTGGAGCCCATTTATCTGTAGTTTTAAAATTGTCACAGTGATTCTCGTATGCATCTTTGAGAATACTGGTTATGAGTGCCTGTCCTAAAGTCAGACAGACTTGGGTTCTAAGTTGCTTCACCACTTACTATCCCAGGCAGGCGTCCTAAGCTCTCCAAGCCTCGGACTCCATGCAGCTCTCTAGGGCTGCTGTGAGGATTGCACAAGGACAGCAGGCAGCCCAATGCCCTCATGGGGCGGACACTCGATGAGTGAGCTCAGTGTGTTAGCACTAGGGAGAGGACAGCACGGTTTCTGCTCACCACAAGCGGCAGCACAGCTCAGGACTGCATCCTTGACGCTATTCCACTCGTCCATGTCTCGTCCGTACACGTCAGTGAGCCGAAGTGCTCGCAGCCAATCTTTGGCCACCAGTGCTTCCTTAAATGCCTCTGTCAGCACAGGCAGGGCGGTGGGAGAGTGCAGGCCTAGGAGGACGGTGGAGAGACTGGCCTGACAACAAAGCCTCGCGGCCAGACTCTGCCCTTGCTCGGAGGAGCCTTGGAGGGGCTTCCAGGCAGCCAGCAGGAAGTCCTGAAGTGTGGGGAACTGTTCCAGGAGGTGCTCACACTCCCGGGAGACCTGCTCTGCAGTCAGAGGTACCTCCCTGCGACCACGAAGCTCCTTCCATGACAAGCTGGGCTTACTGGACTTTGAGCCCCGGTTAGCCCCCAAGCAGGCCACGGTAGCCAGCAGCTTTGAACGGGACTTCAGGAAGGCCAAGGCAGAGTTGGTGAGGGCTGCGGGTGACGAGTCCCTTAGAGAGCAGTGAGGCTTGCTCTCCAGTGTGCTACTCTCAGTTGGCCTTGGGATGCTCAGTGTAGAAAGTGGGAGGCAATCCAGGCAGTGCAGGTAGGCCACGATGCCCAGGTGGGTCACAAGGGACGATGTCTGTTGGTTTTGCCAGGAAGCGCAAAGGGCAAGGGGTTCGCAGCAGCAGTTGACGATGACCTGTGGCACATTCAGATTGAGACCCTCATGGGCCAGAAGGGCTGCCAGCCTGGAGGGAGAGCAGAAGGCATGCAGGGCTGGGTCCACTGGCACCAACACACAGCTGTCAGACTTTGTACCTGCTCAGAATTTTTGTACATTTGCACCAGCAAATGTAAATTCAGGCTCTTAACTGTTCCTCTCTTTTTAAAAACATACAAGGCAGTCTATCAGACACGCTGTCCTGATACTTGCCTGACACTTGCTATTTTATTTAATAACATAATAACATATTTGGGCGATTTGTTCATATTCCTCTAAAATGCTCCTTACTCTTTTTCACAGATATATAATATTGCATTGTATGGATGAAACATCAGTTAATAAATAGTTCCCTATTAGTGAACAATAACTTTTTCTCCTATTTTTGCTATTGCATGTACATAATAAAGCAGCCTGATAAATTCCCCAAAGTGGACTGCTAAGTTGAAGAGTCTAAGACTATCATTTTAATCAACACTGACAAATTGGCATTGCACAGGGACCCTACCAATTTATGTCCCACCAACAATTTATGGGGATTCTTTCCTCCAGCCCAGCCAGCTAATATGTCATCAAATGTTTGGATTTTTTGGCAGGAAGGAGGTCATACTATGTCATAGGTGGCAAGAGAGAAAGAAACTTGGCACAGTGAAGTTTAGCATAGTTGTTGTTATTAAGTGCAGTTGAGTTGGTTCTGACTCAAAGCAACCAAGGAGCAGCTGCTGGGTTTGAACAGCTGACCCTGTGGTTCAAAATGACCTGTGGTCTAGTGCACTACCCTGCAGTGCCACATTAGGACTCTAACAGAGTTACATAAGACTAAATGCAAATTAAAGGCCATTCTGGAAGAAACCCCCACACCTGAGCACCATCCTGCTCAGGTTTTGGTATCTTCGATTGGCACAATCAGGGCTGCACCTGGGTGGCTCTTACCTGTCTGGGGGAACTTGTCTTTCAAGAAGGAAATGGGACACCAGTTGGGAAGAGCTCTGCTGCAGGAGAACAAAGGGATTTCCTACCTTGACCGTCGCGTGATCTGCAAAGGGTAAGAGTGACCTTTTGGTGTTTTCCAGAATCAATGAAAACAGCGAAGTGTCAAAATGAAGACTCCATTGAGAGCCCATCATTGATTCATTCTAGGAGAAAGGTATTCTCAGCGTGACCCTGACCACAAGTTCAGCTACACCTTTCCACTACTCTAAAGACTTCCAACCACAGATGAATTGCAGTGGGCAGGAGTCAGCCATAAACTGTTCACTCCTGCTCTCTTCGCCCTGACAGAAGAGTATGCAGTACTCACTCTGGGGACTCAGGTAAGACTCTGGAACTCATATCAGATACCTGTTTCCTCTGTTGGCTCCTCAGATCCATAACAGACTGGAGGTCTGACACAGATCTTTATGAGGCATTGATAATTTTGAGTCATCAAAATGAATGGAGCTCCCCCTATATACTGTACAACTGTAGTAGGCATTGGGGAAACAAAGATAAATCAAATAGACAAAGATGAAAAGCTGGGAGGACCTGAAAATCTAGCATCCCTGGCTTCTGTTATTCCCAGCACCTCTTAATTGAGCACCTTGACCCTGCCTTAAGCGGTTTCGTCCCGTTGCGGACCTTGTAAGACTGGTCAGAGGTTCGAGGCCCTATAGGCCTGAGTATAACAGATCTAGCCACTTGGCAGTCAATAGCAAATTGTTTTTCATCTTAAAATTCAGTTACATGTATTAATTTAATACACAGAGCTCTTGGTAATCCACAGATAACTGTGATATTTTCATAAAGCCGAGACTAAAAGTTGCAAGGTTAAGCCTTTCTCCAAAGGATTAACTAAAAATATCTTAGCTACTTCTCGGTTCTTTGTTCTATAGACAAAAAACCCATCGTCCCTAAGTCCCTAATCCTTTTCCAGGTGTAGCCCATTCACCTGGGCGTCTGGAGTCCTCCTGCAGACCTGGCTCAGGAAGCCGAAACAGGGGGACTCTGTCCAAGCTTTTGTCCTTACCTCTCATCTTCCCCCACCTGAACTCAGGGGCTATAGATATGTTAATTGGGCCTGAGAATCCAAGTTGCTGGCCTGGGATTCAAACCAGCGAAGTATGATGTAAAGTTACCTGAATGTCTGGAAAAGTACTGATGTTAGCTGTACCTTGCCTAAGTCCCTCCCAGCTTGGTGTGAAGCTCCTCCCCTAAACAAAACAAGAGGCCCGGGCCTCCCCAGGTGTGCATTACAGGTTGGAAGACATGCAGTAAAGATTGCAGGGCAGTGAGTTGCTGCCTGTAGAGGCCATGATGCCTGTAGTCCCAAGCCTGCCCACCAGTGATGTATCCACCCTGGCTTTGGGGTGCCCCATTGTCTCCCTTCTTCTGTTTGTCTGTGTATTCTTTCGCTATCCCTATCGCCGCTGGATCTCCCCTCCTCGTGAACAACACAACTATGTTGAGGTCAGACCCCGACAGTCCCCAAAGCAGGCAGGCCAGTCATGACTCCAGGTCCACCTTGTTGCTACTTACCAGGCTCAGAGCTCAAACTGCGCAGGAGAACCGCAGCCAGGGTGCTACAGTAAGCGTGGAAGGTGCCCACATAGTTAGTCTGCCTGCTGCCTGCTGGGGTCTGTTTGTCCAGGTTCTTCTGGAGGAGCTGAATCTGGATGACCACAGGGTGAGTCTCGGCCTCGGGAGCTTTCTGGGCTGCCTGCTCCACCAGGGAAGAGAGTGGAGTACTCTTGGGCTCTGAGAAGAGTTGTGGAGGGAAAAGGGATGCAGACTTTAGCCTGTGCATCCAGTTTTGGGTCAGCTTTTGAAATAACATGTGAATTGGACTCCCACACACTACATGGGCATCCTAGACTCCGAGTGCTCGGTTTTCAATGCAATATAACATCCTAACACGGTCATTCATGCAAATGAGTCTCAGCTAGGAAGAGCTTGAGTCTGGTGAAATCTGCTTTCAAGGAGCCTTGGTGACACAACAGTGTTTCGGCTGCTGACAGGATGGCAGTTCGAACCCACCTAACGGCTCTATAGGAGAAAGCCCTGGCAATCTGGTCCCATAAAGACTGTTCTTCTTAATTGCTGGTGAGTCGGTTCCAACCCACAGCAACCCTGTACAGGGTTTCTGAGGAGCAGCTTGTGGTTCAAACTGACTTTGTAGTCCAGGGAATTAACCCACAGCGCCACAGCAGGACTCTAAGATTATAGTCTAGAAAATCCCATGGGGCTGTTCTTCTCTGTCTCATGGGGTGGCTCTGAGTCAGAATCAACTTGACGGCATCCAAGATTATAGCCTAGAGAACCACATGGGGCCGTTCTTATCTGTCTCATGGGAAGAGTCAGAATCAACTCCAGGGCATCCAAGATTATAGCCTAGAGAACCGCATGGGGCCATTCTTCTCTGTCTCACGGCGTGGCTGTGAGTCAGAATCAACTCGACAGCATCCAAGATTATCGCCTAGAGAACTGCATGGGGCCGTCCTTCTCTCTCTCATGGGGTGGCTGTGAGTCTGAATCAACTCGACGGCACCCAACAACAGTCCCACTTCCACCTCAGGGTTCCTGGGGCTTTAGGAAGGGCAAAGTTATCTTTTGGAAAGGGTTGATCAATATTGACTATCTGCTCAGGATATCTGTCACAATGAATTTAAAAAAATGTATTGGCTAATAACCTGAGAGGCAGGGAAGCAGAAGAGGATATGAGCTATGCCCTGCCTTACTCGAGGATAGGCAGAGCTAAGACCTGGGGTCCCAAGCCTCTGCTTCTTGCTCAGAGGCTTCCTCACCCCACACCAGCCCTCGTGTGCCCCCATACCTGGCAGCACTAGTGCCTCTCTCAGCGCCTGAAGGACCTGTTCTAACTGCTGGGAGAGGGCGACCTCACTGGCAACACAGTCCTCTGTTAGGCTGGGCCAACACATCTGGAGAAGCTCGCTGATGCTGCACCTTGGGGGCCCTCCTCCTTTTTCTTCTATATTCTCTGTGGAAAGCAAACCAGAGAGGCGTGGGGAAGTCTGGTGACTGAATGCTCCAACTCCAGATGAAAAGAAAAGGTAGCAAAGCAACTCACCTGATTTAGTCTGTCCTGTTGACATCAGTGGATAATTGAGAATCTTACGGATCTGCTGAACCACACCTGGAAATCCTCGAATGCCATCAATGTTGAGTGGTATGTGGTCTAGCTGTCGACCTGAAAATGGATGAAGAGAGAGGGAATGCAGAAAGACAGTGCTTCTGCAGACTGGAACTTAGAGTTTACTTGTGGCATTTTATCTTCTCCAGTAACAAGGAGGAAATAAATGCTGTGCCATTTGGGTGGCAACCAGCACCCCTGGTTTATTTCCTGCCTGAGGGTCTAGGGCTCCTTTAGTAAGATGTCTCAGCTGGCCACAGCGGCAGATCTAACATCCCCTGCACTTCTATGGGTTATTGCTGCCCCCAAACAACTAGACACCTTTTTTTAATTCCTTAACTGGTTACCTCTAGATTTTGCCCCATGAGCCTTTTTCCTTTGCTGGTTTTGTATTCAGCCCTTCCACTGTAGTAAACCTTAACTATGAGTTCCACCATATGTTGAGTCCTGTGAAAGCATCCTAGCAAATCATCAAACCTGTTCAATTCACTGTAGGCTTATAATTCAAATGCTGAAGCTACACTGCTTGGGTTTGTAATTCCAGTTCTGTCACATACTTGCTTTGTGACCTTGGACAAGATACTTAATCTCTCTGTGCCTTAATGTCCTCATGTGAAAACTAGGGATAGGAATGGTCACCTTCCACAGAGGGGCACTGTGAGCACCCAGTAAAGTACCATGTCAAAGTGTTCTGTTCAGTCCCTGGCACACAGAAAGCACTACAATTATTACAGATCTGACCAAGCAGGCCACCCCGTGAAATAAGAGGCTACTTACTGAGTGTCACAACCTCACAGCCTAGTCACCACTACTCGTTCTCCTAGCCTCACCCCATAGCCCTGAGGCAGAGCATGCTCACTGGTATCAAAGACAGGAAGGGATTTGAACTGTGTCTAAACTTATCGCAGACACCCTGACCCTTGTAAGAATCACATACACACATTGTGGGAGATTACAACCCTCAAGGTAATATCTTCCTTCAACTGTGATCCATTCAATTTTCTAAGATTGTCCCAGGTTTTAGGGTAAGTGGGGTCCACCCAGGAGGGAGCTTGCAGTCTCGGGGCCCAAATTCCATTGATATCCCTAATGAATATACATACTTCTTCCTTGAGTTTATCTGTAACCCAGGAAAGGGTTTCCACAATTGACTGCAGGTGACCAAGGTTGTTAGGAAGGCGAGGCTCTCAACATGGGCAGCAGTTAGGCCACAGATTGGACATGGAGTCTGTCCTCCTCAGCCCCTACCTCCTTTCTTCTTACACAGCTGATCAAGTCTCTGGGAGCTGTGTCTCCACCCATGAGGATCACAGAACAAAGCGGAAGCAGCACACTCACCTCGGTTCTCAAGGCTGTTGTGCAGATACCGTTCGGCAGTTTCCAAGAGTTGTTTGCAAGTTTTCCAGAGCTGGCACTGAGAGCAAGCTAGGTCAAATGCTGCCATGGCAGGAGGGCTGAGGTCTTCCAGAACTTCTCTCAGGGGAGCAGTGGGCTCCAGCAAGGTGCTACTTATCCAGAAATCTTCTTGGAGTATGGGGATTGGGTCTCCAGAGGTGCTGAGAAGCTTCTCGGTCACATCAGCTATGGAGTAAAACACCATGCCTGGAAACCCAGCAGTGAAGAAGGTTAAAAGCATTCTAAGTATTGCTTTTACTAACAGCATGCAAAGGGAAAACAAGAGGAACTCCAGATGGTCAAGGTGAGTAAAGGTTTCTTCCAAATGGGGTCTAAAAGCAGGGTGAGAAAGGATGAGAGGAACTGAGTGTCTTACTCAAAAAGATGTCTAGATTAAACTGCTAAAAAGGCAGAGCAGACAACTGTATTTGTAAGAGCCCATTTATTACAAAAACAAAAAGATTTGCATGCAGAACAATGGAAACTTCTGAGGGAACACAAGTCTATCAGGAGTAATGTGTGACGGTAAACATGATCTGTTGAGCCAAGAGAAGTGAAAATGTGAGACACGATCCCGCTCAAGACAGAATGCAAGGAGCAGCATTTTTTGCAGGGCTGGAGATTGAGAGTTGTGACCCTCAGACCACAAACATTAATATACAACTTATTTATGGAAAAATAAAATCCCGTGCTTCACGTGCGAATAGTTAGATGGGAAGGTAGTAAAATCCTAACCATTTCCTGAAGCCTGGTATAGTGGCCACAATACACAGGGTAGCATTCATGGTCATGAGTTGAGTCACAAGAGTACAAGTTCAGTGGAGTTGCTCACGTGGCACATTGGTCAAGGAGGTGGGGCGTGCTTAGAGAATGTCTAGGAATATGCTAAGGTTCCCTTTTTCACAGGAGGTGTCCTGCTTTGGATTTCTGCTCACCCTCACTGCAGGCCTATGATTTAGGCAGTTTTCCTCCCCAGCGTCCTTGCCACCTGCACTGGCAGCAGGAGGGTCTAACCTGCCGCGGCGGCGCTGCCGATGGCCTGTAGAGTTGAGCGGCCACTGCCAGTTCTCCGAATGGTGCTGCTATCCCCGCCATCCGAGTGCCGGCTTTCGATCTTGTGCTCCACTCGGGCCAGCTCTTCGATCACCTCCTGGTAGCGCTCCATGAACATCAGTTCTCCCGAGCTGGGCGAGGACTTTAGGTTGAACGTGAACACCACCTTTCGGGGGAGAGATAAAGAACTGTGGGCTTGTCTGTAGTGTGCCCACTGAGTTGGGGCAATTTTCACAGGTGTGAGATCTTGATACTCATTAGATCATGGTCCTAAGACATCTGTTTGTAGGATCTGGATAGCACTGAAGGTTAGAAGAACAGATCAAATAGAAGAAAACATTATAAAAGGTAGTAAGCAAACCACTAGAGGCTGAGAATAAAATAGGTAAAAGATGAGGACAATTTAAAAGTGAACATACATATACTGGTTGGTGTAAACAGTCTCGTGGTGCAATGGCAAGTGATTGGCCGCTAACCAAAAGACCGATGGTTCAAATCTGCTAACTGCTCCACGGGAGTAAATACCTGGTAATCTGCTGCTATAATGGTAACAGTCTAAGAAACCGTATCAGGCAGTTCCACTCTGTCATACAGGTTCCCCATGAGTCAGAAATTGACTTGATGACACACAAGAACACTACACATACGAAAGAAGGTAATCTGAAGAATTTAAGTAACAATCCTGTTTTGTATCTATCCAGGTAACAAATTGCATAAACAAATTTTCAGGGAGTGGAGGTATAATTAACCGCTGGAACCTATTTTGAACAGCAATTTGACAATCAATAAAACCTTAAAAATGTTTAGATCCTTTGACCCAGTCATTTTTTTAAAAGTTTTTATTGTGAACTGAGGGATAGTTTACATGGGAGAACACTGGCTTTACACCATTGTTTCATTGCAGTGATTACAATCTCCTCTGTGCATCATCATTCAACAGTAGTCTATTCCCTCTGTTTTTCTGTATTGTTTTGTTTTGGGGGTGGGGTGTGTACACAAAACCACTCAGGAATATATAATAATTTAAACAACCAAAGAGCACATTCTGAAAGCCTGCCTCCTGGCCACCATCACCCAGTCCCTCTCTTTCCATGAGTCCAGAGTCCTCAGCTGCTCCCTCCCTCTCTCCATGTCATCTCTGCCTCCATCTCTGGTGTTGTTTCGTCTCTGGACAGGGTCCCACATTCCACTTGTACTCTTCTCATTTGATTTGCCCAGTCATTTTATGAGAAAATTTAAGGAAATAATTCAAACGGCACTGTTTCCAAGTGCCTAAAACAACCTAAATGTTCAGCAACAGGGGAGTGGTTAAGAGCAGCTACTCGATCAAACTATTAAGGTTGCTAAAATCAAAGTTAGAAGGCTTATGCTTATAGCATTAAAAAAAAAGTAGGATATAAAGTTTAATTTCAGGTTATCAGCTGTATAAGAGTCATGGATACTTTGGAAAGAGATAGGTAAGAAATATATTGCTGGCTGTTACTCTGAGGAGAACAGTTGGTGGAGGGTTAAAAAATGCAGAGCAATAAAACTTACACCTGGAGAAGGAAAACCTAACTCCAAGAAGTAACACCAGCAGCAGCATCTGAATCATCAGTCAGCAGCCCCGCTACTACCTGCATATGGGCAGCAGGCCAGCAGCCAAAATGGAGGCTTGACTATAGACTTGAGGAATTTGAGGAAAGTAGGAGGGAGGTCCTCACTTTGTGGGCAGTCTTCCTCCTGACATCACTGAGGAGGAAACGAGGAAACTATCTGAGAAATACTGGAAGGCAGGAGAGGTTTTCATTGATAAGGATAAGGGCTTTGGCTTTATCCGCTTGCAAACACAAACTCCAGCAGAGATTGCCAAAGTGGAGTTGGACAACATGCCACAAGCAGCTGCACGTGCGCTTTCCCTGCCATAGTGCGTCTCTTACACCCCGAAACCTTCCTCAGTTCGTGTCCAATGAAGTACTAGAGGAGGCTTTTTCTGTGTTTGGCCAAGCAGAGAGGGCTGTAGTCATTGTGGATGATGGCGGCAGGCCCTCAGGAAAAGGCATTGTTGAATTCTCAAGGAAGCCAGCTGCTTGTAAACTTCTGGACAGATGCAGGGAAGGCTCTTTCCTGCTAATCACATTTCCTCGGCCTGTGATTGTGGAGCCCATGGACCAGTTATATGATGAAGAGAGGGGTTGGGGGAGGCTTCCAGAGAAGCTGGTTATAAAGAACCAGCAATTTCACAGGAATGAGAGCTGCCACCCCAATTTGCACAGCCTGGCTTCTTTGAGTATAAATATGCCATGCGCTGGAAGGCACTCACTGAGATGGAAAAGCAGTAGCTGGACCAAGTGGACTGCAATATCAAGGAAGCTCAAGAGAAACTGGAGATGGAGATGGAGGCTGCTCACCAAGAGCACCAAGTCATGCTAATGAGGTGCCGAGAAGAACTTCGGTGGCGGATGGAAGAGCTGCACAACCAACAGGTGCAAAAACAAAAGCAACTGGAGCTCGGGCAAAAGGAGGAGTGCTGGCGTTGTGACGAAGAGATGCAGTGGCAACAGGAAGCCATGATGTGGCTACCGCAAGAAGGATTCAAGGGAACCTTTCCTGAGGCGAAAGAGCAGGAGATACGATGGGCCAGAAGGCTATGGGAGGTGCTCTGGGCATAAGTAACAGAGGTGCCAGCCATATCCTCTGCTCCATTGCCAACTGGTACCCCAGCTCCTTCTGGACCTGCCTCTATGATGCACCTTAGAATTGACCCCACCAACAACTGAGCATTTTGGCCAAGCTGCTACAATGGAAGGAATTGGGGGTAACCAGCAGAACTCCTGCATTCAATCGTGCAGCTCCTGGAGCTGAATTTGCTACAAACATCATTAATACTAATAAATTTGCTGTCTGTGTTCCCCAAACCTGCAAAACAAAGACCCTTTTGGACTCACCAGAATTCTACTCTGGAAGAGTGTTAACGATTCCTCCCAACAGTTAGGTCTTCCTTGCCTGTACTACCCTAGGGGTATACTGGAGGCCGAGGGCAAGGGAGGGGTAGTATTTAACACATCAGTTCTGTGTATGGTGTATTATTTGATAGATCAGTTCCATGTGATGCATTCCTGAAGTCTCAAGTATGACTATGGAGGGCATGGAGGGAACCATGGCAAAAATGGATCCAGTTAGAGCCCTGGTCATCTTGATCATTCTGTTCTTTGTCTCCTCCTGCTTTATTTGCTTTCTCATTTTTACATCTTCCAGCCCCAGAGACATTGCCACATATACCACAAAACCCAAACAGCCCCCAGTGACCTTAGCCCCATTGCTCCACTCACTTCCAGGTTACAATTCATGTAGATGTTCACAGAGGTTGCAGACAACACACATACGGTTCTGTTATATCCAATATATTACAACTTTATGTCCTAAAGGAGACATTTTCTCTTATAGATTTTCAATTTCATATATCTTTAAAAAAAAATCTTGTGTTAACTTGCCTCCATCTTTTTGTTTGGATAAAGCCAGCCCAAAAGTGGTCCTTCTGTGCCTATGATGTTTTCTTGATGGGTTAAGTGCAGTCTTGGAACAGGGCTGCTGTATATTGAAGGCCTGACAGGAGCTCTTAGCCTTGCCTGTCTTAGGTAGTTATGCGGTGCATTTTTTATTGGTGCACCCTGTTTGATTTGTCCCCAATACGTTTAATTTGAAGTTTTATGAGAAATGGAGCAGTAATACAGCATCAACTTATTAAAATACATTTTAAACCTTAAAATATATATATACTGTTGTGCGCTATCAAGTTCATTCTGACTTACAGCAAGTCTATATGACAATAAAACTGCCTCCAATGGAGTTTCCAAGGCTGTAATCTTTATGGCAGTGGATCACCCGGTCTTTCTTGTTGGATGTGGACCACAGATCTTTTGGTTAGCCGCTTGGTGCTCACTGTTGTGCTACCAGGGCTCCTTGACAAAAATATACGACACATCTTTAATATTGGTTTTTCTAGATCGGGGTGGGGATGTCCAGCTCATGGGTCATATAAGTCTATGAAATCATTTGCTCTAGCCCTGCCAAGGCAACTGCAGGCGGGACTAGAAATTCAATAAATCTAGATGCTTTTTTCATAGCAATATAAATTTAAATTAAGTGATGTTATAAATATCCAAATGGCCCTTGGCAAAAGAAAGCTTCCCCATCCCTGTTCTAGATGATAGGGTTTAAAGTAATTTCATCTTCTTGCTTATATATTCTGCTATTTTCTTAAAGCATGTACAACTTCTTCTGTAACCAAAATGAAAAACAAAATTATTTAAATATGTTGTTATTAAGTGCTGTAAAATCAGTTCCAAGTCACATCAACCTTGTATAGGGTTTCCAAGGAGTGGATGGTGAGTTTGAACTGCTGGCTTCATGGTTCTGATCTAGTGAAAATTTAAAGCCTCAGAAACCCTATGAATTGGAATCAGTTCAGCAGTGTTTAACAACAACATGCTATTAAATTTAAGCAGTAGAAGAATCTTGTATTTCTCAGAACTTTTATACAATCATCTTAACATTCCTTGAGGTAGGAAAATAGAGTATTCTATTTAACGGCAATTTGCAAATGAGGATATTAAAGCTTAGAGAGGGTAAGTTTTCTGATTTCTATTCCAGTGCTATTTTTCTTACACAATGTAAATAGTCTAGCTTGCTAGCTCCTAATACTTTGTATATACTGATCAGACATTCTATTTATTACTGAAAACAGCACCATGATTTTTAACTATGATGCATGTATTCAGAGGAGTACAAAGAAACAAAAACATTTTCATTTTTTAAAAGTGATGGGACCATGGCTGAATATTTTCTTTTCTCTTGTTAAAACACTATCTATGTTAAGAGAACAAACCATTCCGCATCCTGAATCTCCTCCAGGTTTGGTCTCTAAATCCACAGTGTGGAGGGCTGGGCCATACATGGAAGCTCCCTCCAGCTTCTCCTGCTGGGACTTGGACCCCAAGTACCCCTGAGTAGCAGTGGTTGCACAAGCATGTTCACTTCACACGAGGCCTGCTGGGTAACAGCCAGATAAGGGGCGGACTTACTCTTCCTTAATATGACAAGGTACGGTCTAGGTTCCCACCTACTCTCAGCTTCAACATCTCAACACAGGTGCTCCCCTTACCTGATGGGCTTCTGCAAAGTTCCCCCGGAGGATACAGGATGCCAGCAGTGACTCGGGTGGCGAGAACATCATGGGGATAAGTAAACTTTGAGGTTGGGGCTGCAACCGGCCATCCAGCTCATTCCGCCCAGACAAAGTGCTCAGACTCCCCTCTGTTGGGACACAAGAATGTGGGAGGCCAGGGAAGCAATATGAACTGAGGAAAAGCCACACTGCTCGTCTCTTTCGCCAAACTCTTTTCTTATCAAAGTCCATCTCCAACAAGCCTGTAAATGGGGTCTTACTGTTTTCCTCAACAAGTGAAGGGCAAACTAATGCTATGATCTTTGAATCTGAAGTGGCTTCAAAAAGTTCATGGCAAAAATCTATTATCTTTTCATTCCATTTTTGACACACTTCTTGAAGCCCCCTTATATAAGACTGTTAAAGTACAATGGCCGTCTTTGGACATTTGCCTTTGTTTCTCTCTTCTGAGGGGTAACTCAACCGACAGTGAAAAGAGCCATTTCCCTTTTCCCAGCTGAAATCTGCTTGGTTGTCTGCAGAACCAAGCTTCTTAAACACAGGATGAACTGCTCAGTCTTGGTTTTTATACCATGCAGTATGGAAACTCTGTGTCAGGGAAGTTGCTTAAAGTTGGCAACTGGTTGGAACCCTCATACCTGAAGTACTTGTGCTCAGTTCACTACTTGTACTTTCCAGGGATGGGTTGGAACCTCTGTCCCGGCCATCTAGAGCTATTAAGAAGAAGAGAGAAAAATCAATCAGCAGCTCCTTACAGTGTAGAAAGTGCAAAATTGGCTTGAAGGTCAAGGTCTCAGTACTTAGAGTGAAGGGGTTGTGGTAACTGCAACACCTGCTGCTGCTTCTACAGCAACATGGAGTTCCGAGAGAAAAAAGGTGAAGGGCGGACTGAGCATGGCCCAAATGCTCACTTAGTAGACTATATAATTTCTAATCTGTGGGTCTCAGAGTCTCAGAGCTTTCAAGTTATTTCCAGGGATCGGCAATCCCCATCTGCTTGCTAAGCACTTTCAACATTCTGGAAAAAAGTAACTGCCCATCTGGTATAACCAGAAGTAGTAGGTTGTAGAGGAGGGTCACAAACTTCTCTGACATAGAAAAAGGTGTCCTCATACTTGAAAGGAGTCCTGGTATGGCGCTGCAGGCTAATACACTGGACAGCAAGGTCAGTTTGAACCAAGGTTGGTGGTTCAAGCTCACCAGCCTCTCCTCGGAAACCCTATACAGGCTCACTAGAAATTGGAACTGACTCGATGGCACTTAACAACAACAACATATTTGAAAAGATACGGACCCAAAGTAGAAGGCATGGTCCACCAAAGACCCTGGTGTACACAATCTTGGAGAAAAAGCTTTCCTGGAGTGCTGGGGCTTGTGAATGGCAACTTGCTATCCCTCAGTGTGGTCACCTGAGGGCTAGAGCAGCCTACAGGAAGGAGCCCCTGAGCATACTGCCTCCTCACAGTCCTAGCTGTTTGGTGAACCAAGCCCAGCTGCAGAATCCTTTAGAAGGGCTGGAATTGCAAGGAAAGAAATGATGAGCTACACATTCTGGGTCTGGATATCAGGTAAATGCAATTGATACCTTTTGACCCAGACAAATTAGTAACTTAAGGGTCTCAGCATCTCAGCCTTGATGTTGTTCTCAGGACATCCACTACCCTATGCAGTATGCTGTTCTATCTTGTGGCCACTCCACTAGATCTTACTCATTATTCTGACTTTAGGTCATGAGTCAGCTGTTCATTAAGTTCTAGTTCCCTGTCTATCTGTTTTTTTTTTCTCTCTCTTTAACTTTTTTTTTTTTTTTTGACACCATTAGACCCTTAAAAGACATCCATTTTCCAAATACAGCTATTTCTTTTGACACTAATACAGTGGGTCTTAGGCATAGGCCCGGTTTTAGGCATTAATAAAAAGGCCAGTACTTAATATAATAAAATACAGGGAATAACCAAATCCCAGTCCCAAAGTATTTCCTTTTCCAATCTACCTATGCCTAAAATTTCACTAGTGATTAGTTCTTACAATACTTTAATGATGCTCCCCCCTTTTTTTAAGTGTTTTATTATGAATTATATGATAGTTTACATGAGATCTTTAACTTTTTATTGTGAATTGAGTGAAGGTTAGCAGACAAGATCATCAGCTTTATATTCAACAAATTATATGCTTTGTTTCATCTTAATGACTACAAATTCCCTCCCTGCAACAACAGACATCCTACTTCCTCCCTGTGGCTTCCCTTTTATATCTTATATTTTATAATTGAACATGGCAAAAATACTTGATGTACACATACAAAACAAAAAATAGATTGTGCAAGTCAGCCTCCTGCCCTATTTCCCTAATTTTAGTAGAATGTGCATATCTCTCCTTTTAAGAGATATCTTTTTCAGGTAGTGCCTTCATTTCATTTAAATTTTAACCGCTGCTGTCTATGTAGCTAATTTTGAGTTTCTGAAGGCCTAATTTATGCCTCATTCACCTCGATCTAGATCCCTATTCTTGTTTAGCTGAAGCCTGTTGCCATTAAATTGATTTTAACTTGTAGGGACCCTACAGATCAGAGTAGAACTGCCTCATAGATTTCCAAGGCTGTTATCGCTCCCAAGGCCAAGGAGTCCTGGTGTGGCGCTGTGGGTGAATGTGCTGGTGAGCTTTTACCTCTGACCTTGCAAAATGTATGAAACAGCAGATTAGTGGTGGCCAGGGTGGAATGGGAAGTAACTTATGAGAGTTGCAAGGAAATTTTTTTTTTTTTTTGGGGGGGTGGGGTGATGAAAATACTTAAGATTCTGGTGATGTTTGGGTAACTGAATATACTAAAATTCACTGAGTTATAAAACAGTTTTTTAAAGAAAAAACAGTATCAAAGCTTTATAGCATGTGAGAAGTATCTACAAATATTAGCATATTAAACATCCTTCTGTCATTTCCCTTTGAAATGTGCCATGGGTAGGAAGTTTTAAACACAAGTCAGGCATCTGTCTCTGCAGACTTGCCTACAGAGAGACAGATGAGTTACTAAAATTTGAGGGACTCAGGACATAATTTCCTGATACTTGTATAACTGCAGTCATACAGTAATCTTAGCAGGAGAAAGTAAGAGGCAATGTCCCACTCTTACCTGAATTATCTGTCTTACATGGATTAGGGAAATGCTAATAAAAGCACACATCTACCTAGAAAAATAATTTGTTTGGGATTATGTAGAATAAGGACCCAATAAGGACCTAAAGCAGATTATCACTCAGTGTCAAAGTAGAAATCACCATTGGCTATTCTCTTGCTTATGTCAAGCATTTGGGAAATTATTTTATGATTAAACTGCATTGACAACTATTGTTTACCAACACAAGTAAATCACTTTTATCTACTTGTGTAAAAAGAACTATGCTGTGAGAAAAATATTAAAGAAAAACAATTACTTCCTCTTCAAAAAAAGAAAAAATAAGTAGCATATGAACAAAAGCCAATGATACTGAAGGAAGAAGTCCAAGGTACATTGAAGGAATTGGCAAAGAACAAGGCACCAGGAATCGG